AGTTTTATTCGTGCCATTTTCTAAGCAACAAAAAAAAATTCATTGCGAATTATAAAGATTATTTTGAAAAATAGATAAATTTAGTTGGAAATTTTATTTGTGTTTATGTTGGTTGTTTATAAATACGTAAAATCCCTCTAGCGGATTGGAGTTCTTGTTGTTGTTAAAATATTTAAAAATATCAAAGATTAAGTTCGTTTCTCAAATATAATTCGAGATGACTAGACTGTATTGTAGAGTTGTGGACGAATATCTTTATTTAGATCACATTCACCTTTGTTTTTTCTATCATATGAATACTTTGATTTTGCTTGGCAAAATCCATTGTCTTTGGGAAGGTAGGTGCTGAAATCAACTGGGTCAAGCAACAGCTGTGTTTTGAGCTGTGATGTGTGCCATACACCCCTCTCTACTCGTACATAATGGGCTCAGTCGGTGCGATACGGGGGTGAGCCTTGGTGAATCACATAGCACAGGAAAGCAGAAAGAATCGATCTACAAAAGCCTTGGGTTGAAAACAACGCAAGTTTTGCGTCAGCACGCGCCACAACAGCCCTTGAAAAAAGATACTGGGCGTCATTGGCTGCATCTAATGGAGGGCGTTCACCTACCGTTGACCTCCACTGCGTAGACGACCTTGAATGAAGCATAGAGCGCGCACTTCCGACCTTCAGCGTCGCTATCGGCTGAGGTGCTTTCACTGTTGGCGCCTGTTCGTCCTTCGAGCGTCCTCTGGTGACCTGCAATCTTGTGATTTGGCATTGAAAATGTCGTGGCTAGAGAGTGCACGCAGATGTAGCTATCGACATTCAAATGCGGTCACTAACATAAGGGAAGGTGAACGTTCGACCCTGCAAACTTGAACAGTTCCAGCAAAGCCTAGTGAAAAAATTAATTTAGTTTCCTAAATATAGCAATGGTGCTCATTTAAGTCATGTGATGGATATAACAATGACGTAAACACAGTTCCATACTTCAGATCGATAACAATTCTTGGTAAATGATAACATTACGAAGATAACACACGTAACCTGAAGCACTCTGTTTCTGTCTGCGTTTTGGCGGCTCTGTCTCTTAAAACATCATTATTTTAACAAGTTCTCAAGAGTTTTAAATTGCTAACTAATAACAATTTAGTAATTAAACATCCCAAAGATAAAATATGTTTGTCATATGGCATACAACTTTCATTTATTTCAAGTTGTCTTTAACAGCTTATAATTATTTACTGCTTCGTGTGAGGTATATTTAATTGTATTTCTTTTACATCTGGTTACACACCCGCGCCACAGAATTAAACTCATGAATGGCTGCGAAAGATTATAATAATGTTCACAAATTCAAAACTTTAAAGCTCATGTGCTAAAATTAAATGTTTCAAGGTATATGAGGCTTGGGAGAGAAGAACTGTTTTGTGCATGTTTTGTAAGAAATGGCACACTTCATTTTTCTTTAGTCACTTTCATAAATAGTATTATCTGTGATGTTTAAGGTAATTTTAGGTATAGGCGATTTTTTACACTCATGGAAACTGTGTTGTACTGTTAGCTTAGTATATGAATTTAGAACTAACCTAAATCTTATCGGCTGGTCGAATATCGAGAATACGGCTGAAAATAGCGCCAAAAGCGAGGATACATAACTGATGATTATTAATACATTTCAATCATTATATGTTTTGTTTTTCTTATGCACTGGTTTATGACATTGTAAACTTCTAGCCATTTTGTTATATAGAATTAGCTTAATCAATTTATAAGTTACTTTTCAGTTTTAATCTACAGAGTTAACTAACTTTAGACCAAAAGTTATTGATACTAAATTAAATTTTCAAACCACACAAACGCTGACAAAATAGCGATAGAATAAATCATACATCAACAACAGATCTACGTTATTTTTACACGTGCAGTTTTTATATTAATGAACTTTCTTCACTTGATGGCTATTGGCCGAATACAACAATGCTAAACAATAACTTAATGATCTATTTATATTTGCTATATGTAAGACAATATGCTCTCCTATTGAATTTTTAAGTTTACCAATAAGTTGACATTTTGATGAAAACTCGGCTCAAACTTGGACCAATCGAAGCCTGTGTATTTGTTTATTATAAATCTGTGTGATTTACCGGAATGCAACATAATTTTGTTTTCACGTTAGCGAAACTTAGACCCATATATGTTTTACACTTTAATAAAGTGTAAAAAAATACATTTGTAACCCACTTTTTGCTTTATTCGTTTTAAAATAATCTACTAGTCTATTTACTGACTGGTCGTTACACTTAACCTGCACGACAATGTTGTTGTGAGGAGAAGACGATTCCACAGCGCTACCACGTCTGTGAAAATGGGATCGACAACACACACGAATCAACACTTCAGATTGGGTTATGCCATTTATAGTGGGTAGGAACACTATGAGATGATGAATGCCATTTTTCCTCTATTTGATTAGATATAAAATGGGTCTTTCCCTAGTCCCACCTTACATGCTTAAGTTGTGTTTTTAGTTTTCACTTGAAGTTTTTATCACTATTCTTGTGCCCAATTTTAATTAGGGCGACAACATCAATTTTTCATTTTTTTCTTCCTACCACACCTTACTTTTTTTTCTGTAAAAGGTACACTTAAAAATGAACACATGAATAAATATTGCATTTGTTTCTAATGGCAAAAAAACAACAACAAAACTGTACATATTGTTAGAAGAAATCATGAAGGTTTCTAAAGATTTTTACAGGAAGAAATGTATTTTTTTTGCTCCTGAATCCTATATAACCTAAAAATTTTCGCACTGGATATTATTTTGCCCTTCTCATTTTTTGGTTCTTCAAGTTAACGCCGTTTGAAGCTCTGTATTGAGTTCCCCTTTACGTTAAAATTTGCTAGAGACATTTCTTTTAATGATAATAAAGCGGTCTAGATTGAGAAATTGGAAGTATCAGGTGTGAATTTTATCGTTTCAGCACTAAGACACAAAATATGTTACCAGTTTTGTACGCATATTAACAAAGAGGAAGGACTTACAACAACAACAACAAAAACACCTTATATAAGTAAACATATATAAAATTAGTTTTCTACATCTTCTTGTATTCATTTTGTTATATATATATATGTGTGTATGTGTGTGTGTTTTGTTCTGTAATAATTGTCGATTTTCATCATCGGGTAGCGTATTTCACAATTTGAAGCATACGTGCTTTTATTACTATTAATAATATTATTCTGTTGTTCAGTCGTAACTTTTAGTAATCACACTTATGAGATTATTGGTATCTAATAAAAATCATTTAAAGCAACGACTAGTTATCTTTAAAAACGAGAATTCTCGAACATTAAACGATTAACCACACCAAAATTAGTTTCATGCTTACTGATAAAAGAAGGATATAATTTGTTTGTTTATTTGTTTTAGTGCAAAGCTATACAATTTTAGCATTACAAATCCTCAAACTCACTACTGAGCCACCAGGGGACAAATGGGGTATATTATTGACTAGAAATTCGTAAAAGCGTAATACTAACTTATGGTTTCGTTGTTAAACTTTTGTTATTTTTATATTGCAATATTGTTCCCATGTATTCTATTAAAGTATAAGCTCTAGAATATATATTTAAAATAAACAGTTTCTATCTTTTTCACGAAAGTTAGTATTTAGAGCCAAAAGATGAGTCTTATACACCGAAGTTTTATGGGCAAGTTTTATGCGAATTATGGACAAATCTTATGCGAGTTACGGATAATTTTATGGACAATATTATGAGAGATATGAATAACGTATGACGGGAAAGTATTATGAGTGTGTGTATCTTTAAGCGAATAAATATTCCTGATTATCAGTAAGTAATAAACCTAGAAAAGGTGGTCTGCTGACGAACTATTAAATGAAACATATTTTGATCAGTTGTATTCAGAAAGTCTCATCCGATTACTTATGTTTAGGAAGACATTATGAATTATTAAGAAATATGTTCGAGAAAGAATTAAACTCTCCATAATGGGTTTACAAAAGATAAAAACTAGGAAAACAAATTACACAAAAATTAAATTAACGAAAATTGTAATAAGTGCATTTATGATTCAGTATATTAAATTTTTTATATGAACAGTTTTCTGTTTGTATTGTTACACCTCCAGTCGTTAGTTAATTTTCCGTAAATTCGTTCCGACGAAACTTTAGCGACACAAGTCCTTTCTTAAATAAAATTGGTTTATTCTTTCCGAATACAACTTTACAATACACTTAATTTCAACAGTCGCTCTATAACAACACTATGATTCACGTCTCACGTGGCCAACAATATTTTGTCCGCATACATTCAATTACTCATTACCTACACATTGTCCCGTCACGTTGTGACCATCTTATATATACCAGACTACCCCCAATCTAGTAATCTCCCGACAATTCACGAAAGTTCGAGAAAGAAGTGGCGTGATACTAGTCACGTGACCTCGCTGACGCAACAGTATCATTAGCATGATAATGTCATTACCGCTTAAATTTTAATATAAATACATTCGAATTGATTAAATATATTCAAAGTTTTAACGTCTCCGTTTCATTTACTACTCACTTATTTTGTTTAAGTGCGAAGATGCACAATCGGTTATCTGGGGTGTACCCACCGCAGAGTTCGAACCCTGAAATTTTGCTTGATAAATTTTCAAGATTGCCACTAAAACAAGGGTAGATAAAGTAAAACAATATTGATTGTGCTGTATGTTGTAATAAATCTGTATGGCGAATTCGTTCAAAAATTCACTATTTCCTCTTCTCTCTTATATTTGTATTATAAGAATGTAAAACATTTAATATCCGCTTTCAAACTTTAGGAACGAAAAACCTAATTTAACTATTTCACTTTTGAAACTGTTTGATTTTTTTTAGATATATAATTATTTTCGAAGCTTTGGAAGATTATGTAAAATCCTATAAAAATCCCATTTGTATGTTAATAGAGGGCGCAGTTTTCATCAAAGTAAACGTGGGATGAAACATTTGAAAGTTAGATTCTCAAAAATTATTTGACTGTCTTACCTATAACTTGTTATAATTACATAATGTTTTATGGCATATTAGGGTTAAGTATACATGTGTTGTTTTTGTATTCAATATTTGATATATATTTCAAATCACCTATTATTCATGGTATGAAGTCACATTCTCCGCCTGTATCTCCAGCGCGGCGTTTAGTTCTTATAGTGGCTGACGGGCTTCGAGCAGATAAATTTTTTGAAGTAGACTCAGAAGGACACAGTAGATCTCCATTTCTAAGGTATATTATAAACCTACATGCAACAGTTATAATATATATATATATACTAAAGTTTATTTTTTATACCTGCTAAGCGTTGAAAAGGGCGGTATCAAATGTTTTCCACAAATTGCCGGGTTCATATTAAATGTTTTGCCAAGTAATGCTGTAGTACAGTTTTAACTTTTTTTAATTATTTTAGCTAATAAAATAACATTATTAATATTTTGTTTGTTCAGGCTGTAGCCTGAGGCCTTCTATAGTTCCACTTTGAAATGATAGAAAATTTTTCAGTCAATTTAAAATAATGCTGAAAATTAATCTTCATTCATAAGTAGGTTACTTGCCCTGTCACTAATATATATCTAAAATTCTAAATACAATTGTTATCTATAAGTCTTTGAAATCAAAGCATTAAAGATGACTCATTAGATAATTATTCCTTAATCTAACCATTCTTGAGAGAATCCTACCTCTATAAATTGGTATGAGAAATCCACATATCTTTTAGTTGCCAGGTCTATCAACAAAAAACTTGTACAGACTTCGATTACTCTGAAATTATGATTCGGTCATTTTTAGCACTTTTTTTAAATGGAGTACATTTCAAGAACTTACAAGTTACATGTAAATGTGAAGTTCTTTAAAATAAAAGAAAATCTGTGTAAGAATGAAGTAGACTTAAGAATAATATTCTTTTTGAAATATTCCATTGCATATATCATTAACAGTTGTAAAAGTAGTTAACAATTAGACTGTGAAGTACCTGATTTGCAGCCTAACAGGTTACTTGAAAATTGTCATTCAACAACTTTTCTAACAATGCAGAATTTGTGGTGTGCACACTCAGAATGTCGGAAGATTATGTTTATAATGATTATATTAACCCTATTATTGATATTCAGTCATATAGAAATTAGTGTCTGTTTTGTTTAACACAATACCTGGCAAATGATAAAAGCACTAAAATTGCCTTTCAGTGATAATTTAGTATTAGATATTTCATAAGAATACAACTTTTCTGCTTATTAATTTACCTCTTGCAGAAAAATCTTCATTTGAAAATTAATTCTTTCCCCTATTTATCTAAAGATTCTAGTGAAAGACCATTGCTTTTTTCATATCAGTTTACTTATTTCAGTGCTAAATTAATCATTACATACTGGGAAAATGTTACCCTAGTCTTAGTTGCAATGCATGGTTGGTAGGTGTAAGTGTTGTAGATGTAGACACAATGGGGTTCCCGTTAAAGTTAACACATTGCGGATGGGTTGCGAGTTTACCTGCATTTCGTGCAGAGTGTCTTTGTGTGCCATTTATTAAAACGTTGAGTTTGAAAGGAGTCAGTCACATTTTTTTTGTTCATAACTCAACTATATTTTTTATTATTTATTTGAAATTTACAGAATATGTAAATAAAGACACTTAATAAATATTTAACGTGTGGTATCTTGTAAAACATTTTCCCATATGGAGTGTAACTGTACAAACTTGCATATCAATCACATTTCACTTCTTTTCCCATGGGCAGTACAAACTCTGCAGGCTCTGGTAGGAAATTTCTTTTTTCCTGTAAATGAAATGAACATAGGAGGAATATGCTGCTTCATGTTAGCAGACAGTCTTCCTGGGGGATCTTTATGTGGGGCTCTCCTTGTACCTTCAGATGATGGACCAGGTTTGTTCCTATCTAGTTCCAGTGAGCCTTCTTTTTCTTTGTCAGTAATGTATTCCCTTGCCACAGAGAGGAGGAACTGCTTTTTTTTTCTGTTGATTCAGGACTTTGTAGATTATATATGAATTGAAAAGGCTGCAAGTTATTAGATAAAGTACTACCTTTTTTGTCCATTTCACTGTTTTTCTGAGAATGGTGTAGTATGAAAGGTACTTATTTGCATGATCAACAACTTTCATGTGAGCATTGTGTTGGAGAACATACACAGGTTTTTTATTTATTCTCCTGTTATTCTATTTTTCTTTCCTGTGATAGAAACAGATGAGTCATGGATGGTTGAAACCATTCTCACTTCTCTCTTGTCTTTCCACATGAAAACAAGAATATCACATCACCTTTTTTACAGAAAGCTGTTTCACCTTTTTTCATTGTTGAAACTTGAAGCTTGGATGGCAACCCTCTATTCACTTTGATTGTTCCGAAGACTTGTTTTATGTTCTAGGAACAGGATTGCAATGGAAGTACTGTTGCAATAATTGTCCTGGTATACATGATGTCACAATCCAAGTTTAGGAGCAAGAACTGAAAATATAGTCTCCTCCATTTTTTCCCCTCACCAGTACGAATCTCTATGTTGCAAATATAACCCGTTTCACTCTCACACACACCATTCTCACCATCAGGCCATATTTTAAAATGTTTGCAGGGTTGTATATTCGGAATCTTAAGCATCCTCTCCATAGAATCATGCCCTCATCCAGTGACAACTGTTGCTTTGGTTTGTATTGTGTCCTGAATTTGCTGAGAAAATAATCTAGTATCAGTTGAATTTTGAATTAAGAAATAGCTGAAGAATGTATATTGTTCCTACTAAGTGTGCAGAATGTACTAGATGTCATGAACATGTTTCAAACCATACTTAGTGCAAATCAAGATCAGAAAGAAGTGGCACTAAGCAAAGTAGTCAACATATGAACCATAAACCTGTGCAAAGTTTTCTGGGAAAAGCTGGTCTAGCAAAGTTTTTCTTGTTCAAAGAGGCCATCAAAACATGGGAATTTCTATAGAAACAACTAAGAATTGTAGGCTTAAATATTTTAATATTTATTACATCCTTAAATAGAGACTGTTTTTTCAGAAACACTATTCACCTCTCTGCACAAGAAAGAGCTATTACCTATTTTTTACCTTGTCCTTGATTTTCTTCCAATTTGTTTCAATTAGCTTATTTTTCTTTGTTTCTGAGTTGTACTTCATCATGTTGCCTTACTTTCTAAAATTTGCTTCCCTCACTCTTCTCTACAGAACCTATGTGACGTGGTTTTGTTGGGAGTATTTCTTATATTTTTGCATTTTATAAGCAGTCATCTCTCCTCACTTTGGTTTCTTGTCTTTGGGATCAGGTTTCTCACAATATATGGCCTCATGGGATTTCCCCTCTCCTGTTTCTTGTGTTCTTCTTACTAGTCTAAGGCATCTCCTCATATTTTAGGCTAGCAATTGTGAGCCTTGGAGGCAATTTGCTTCTGGAACCACCCCTTGGTTCTGGTCCTGTGGGTGCTCTGCTCTCTCACCTTGTACAATGGTGAAGTTCCTTTGCTATAGCCAATTGAGCTCTTAAGGTACTTTATAGTGGGTTTTTCTCTCTTTCTGCTCTTCACCTCACATACCTTGAATGCCATCGGACAATTCTTCAGCCCCCACTCTGGAGTTTTTGTTTGTCATTCCATGTAGATGGAAAGTTATCAGTTAGTCATTAGTCTGTCCCACTCGATTCATCTTTGGTTTTCCTCAATTCCCATGTCCGATTTTCTTGCTCTTTGGTGGCTACTTTCCCCAATAGTGGATGACACAGTTTTAAATCTTGGACATGTTTTCTACATCCTGATTGATCTGCCCACCACTTGCTTCCTTTGGTTTGTCTGCAGTGTTCAAATTTTGGTTCTCAGCCCTTCCCTTTGATTTGGCTACTACCTCATCTTTTAATGGCTGGAGATGGCTTGAATGGGTAATGAAGAAAAACTTTAACATAAGTTTAACATAACAGCAAATGTACAACGTTTCGACAAGGTTTTGTCATCATCAGGTACCAGATGATACTTAATAATGCAATGTTTTGAAACTTTGTTAAAAAACTTTCAAACCTTAATATATTGCTTATTAAATACAAATATTACGTATATGGCATAAACTAATCATTACATCACTCCTTGGACAAGAAATATGTGAATGATAACCATTAAGAAGCCCTAAGTGTTTTATCTTTTTAGAAATATGTGAACTGTAATTTCTGTTTTGGTTAAAAGTTTTTATTGTGGATTTGGATTTTAATTAATATAGTGCACTCCATTTTACAGTATGAATACATTTGCATGTTTGAGTTTTTGCATTAAGTTGGTGTGCCATCTTTCCATCCACTGTGGTAATATTCTTATTTTGGTAATTATGTTTTTTTTTAATTAGATTTAAATACTTTTACAGAATCATTTTTTTTGTGATTTGGAAACTGTTAGAAGATCTTGTAGGATATAGATTGGAGTTCAGATGCTGAAAATGTTAAAACTACTATACAAGGAGGATATGGAATATAGCCAAGACCCTGAAACTGTTGTAAATTTTACATAAAAGACAAAATGCAGCTCAGATGCTAAACTCTTAGAAAAACTTGTATTATGTAAGACATAGTTTAGATCTTGTTCTTAGTACAGGATTAAATTTTCAGTACTGTTGAAACTGTTAAATCTTGATGGGTGTAATACATATATTGTATTTCTGGTCACTTTCAAATAAGTTTGTGGTGATTATATATCAATTATTGTCATGATTAGTAGCCAATACAATCATTCTTTTTTTAGTTTTTAAATATCAATTACTTACTATTTTGGCTGCTAATTGCTGCTATCTTAAGGGTAAAACTTTAGAAGGTCTAATATTTTGGTGCTAGTAGCCAGGATTTGATCCTCGATCTTCTTTATAGAAATGTTGGTGTGCTATCCACTTGTCTAGGGTCTCCAAAGTAATACTTTAATCAACTAACTTATTTGAATGCTTTCAAGAGGAATATACAGGTTTTGCTAACATCTATGCTAGGTTGACTAAGTGGCTTATCAGTTAGGTAAGATATATGTGTAGAAGGCTTCTTTTATTCTTATTTTTCTTGTGTGTGGCTCATTCATAGTATTATTCCAATTTATTGTATAGTCTTTATCTCTGAAATTATGAAGTGTTGCATAGGTATATACTATGATCATACTGCACTGGTCCCCTTTTTACAGGAAGGATACAAACATGCTGGAAGAAGTGTGTGTGTGTGTGTGTGTGTGTGTGTAGATGGCTTAATAAAACA